AATAGATAACTTGCCACCAAAACCAAGAGAACATTTCCTCAGTTTGGCGTAAGATTGGTTGGCAGGGGTACCTTCAGTGATGCCCCTCTCTGGAACAGAAGAATAGGGTGGGGCACCGTGAAGCATCCTCAACAGTTAGTCCTGTTGTTTCTACCATCTTTTATTTATAGCAAATGGGCTGGTTGACACCAGCATGAAGGTAAAGGGCTGGCCCCAAGTTCTTTGAAGCAAAAGATTTCCGAACTGAAAGGTTCTGGAAAGTCTCAGATCATTAAAGAAGAGAAAGGAGAATTCTACAGAGGCCCAGATCCCGAAAAAGATGTACAGAGGGAAAAGAGACGGCGACAAAGTGTCCCTGAACAGAGGGTGTTGAGTCAACCCAGGAGACTGAGGGCCAAGGCTAGCAATAAAGAACAAGTGGTCACCGGTCAGTGAGTGAAGAAAACATGAAGGCCAGTGAGGCCGAGCAGAGGGGAAAGGGGAGAGGAGGGGAGAGTTAGGTAGACCAGAACTTGGCCAGGTCAGACTTCCCTCAAGTGCACCACAGTTCAGGAAAAGAACAATGAGCCAGTGGATAGGGACCCAGAGGCAGAAACACACACTGGAGAGGACGGTGCAGTAGAAGAAGCATGCGTGTCCAGTGATGGACAGAGGGCCTGGAGGTCCCAGCTGTGTGTGGACCCCTGTTCTGACCCCAGATGTTTAGGTCTCCCAGGTTTTCTATGAGGTCTAAGTATTTGTTCTCCAAAAGTCTGTTGGTATGTGAAGTGTGTGGTTCGTGCTTTTGGTCAGTTAGGATAAAAGCTGATGTCGTTAAGCCTGAAGACCGAGCTCCAATTAGCTTCCTGAAAAGGACAGCGGTTCAGGGTGGGGACCATGGTCCTGTGTTCAGCAGTCACGACCCTGAGATGGGGACTGAGAGGGTTTGCAGGCCCAGGGGCATCACCTATATTGCCAGTGCTACTGACTGAGACCTGCAGATCTCACCATATTGCCCATGGTGGAAATACGCCCTCCACATACTCCGCTGTCAGCTGTGGCATGCTGGGCTCACACAGCCAGCTCCCTAACCTCAGAACCACACGAGTGTTTTGTTTTTAAAAATCACATTTTAATTTATTTAATACAATACTTTATTCTTTGAGAATTTCATACATGTATCAAATGTATTTAGGTCATAATTACCTCCCTCTCCCCCAAACTCCTCCCAGATTCACTTCCCAACCCCTCCATGCTCCCATCTCTGTATCCTTCCATCCTCACCCCTGCTCCCACCTTACAACATGTACACAAAAGCAAACACACGCCTGTGGGCACACTGCCTGTCCCTCAGGTAAGGCCAAATTGTTACATTCATAGTAAAATCATTCATTCAGTAAACTACTCATTGATCACCTTCTGAGGGCCAGGCACAGTTAAGAGAAGAAGATCTGGCCATAGCTGAGAGAAGTTTCGGTGAAGGTCCGGTGACGATGCTGTGCCAGAGGCCTTGAGCCACAACAATGGCTCATTGCAATGAGCATTTTTGGGTTTGGGCTGATTGGAAAAGGATATACTACATGACCAACAGCCGCTCCCAATGCCACTACGACAAATGAAGAGGTGTTGGAAATATGGATGAAGGAGATAGTTTTCGTTTGTTTATTTGCTTTTGTTTTTAATTTATTTGGGGGGCATGCTGCAGGGGCAAGGGGCAGATACAGAGGGATTGGGAGATGAGCAGGTTTGGGGCACGTGATGTTAATTTCCCAAAACATCAATAAGGAATTTTTTATTTAAAGAGAAAGAGAGAATAAGGGAACCAAACAGCACATGTGACTCCCTTCCCCCAAGGACCTCAATTCTGGTAGGGAAAAGAAACACTAAGCCAAGAAATAGACATTTGTCTGGTGGTGATATTTCCTTTAAAAATAGAATGAGCTGCTGTTCAAATGGCTCATTGAATGAAGTTCTTGCTGTGCAGGCCTGACGGTCTGAGTTCAGTCACAGAACCATGTAGAGGTAGGACAGGATGCCTGCAGAAAGTTATCCTCTGACCTCCACATGTGTACTGTGGTTCACTTACACACACACACACACACACACACACACACACACACCACAATAATACGAATTTTAGAGATAATGTAGAACAAGGGACTAAAGCCGAGGTCAGGGATGCTTGCTCTGAGGTCAGAGACCCAGGACCTAAAGGAGGTGTCCCATACTTTCCTCTGGGGAGGAGCTGAGTAGGCTGTTGATGGAAGAGGACCTGTTTGCAGAGCATCAAGACTCGTGCGACTGGAGTGAGAGGACGAGCATAGGAGCCAGGAAGTTCAGGGTTTTCTTTCTTTCTTTCTTTCTTTCTTTCTTTCTTTCTTTCTTCCTTCCTTCCTTCCTTCCTTCCTTTAATTCTTTCTTTTTTCTTTTTGTTTTTCGAGACAGGGTTTCTCTGTAGCTTTGGAGCCTGTCCTGGAACTAGCTCTTGTAGACCAGGCTGGCCTCAGATTCACAGAGATCCGCCTGCCTCTGCCTCCCGAGTGTTGGGATTAAAGGTGTGCACCGCCACCGCCCAGCTGGTTCAGGATTTTCTACCAGGTTTCATGAAGGGCAGCGGCTGGGAGTGGCTCCATTATGAACAGCTCACTGTTCTGGTGTGGGGAATTGCTATGGGAAGCAGGAGGCTGTTCTAGAAATCCCAGTGAGAGATCATCCTAAAAACAAAATAAGAAATTCCAGTGAGAGAGGCTGGTGGCTAGGCCAAGGTGATGGACTCAGTGGGAGGTGGCCAAAGTCAAGATTTGTTTTGAAGATGGAACCTTGGGATTTACTACTGTGAGGTAAGGAAAGTACAGGTTGGCCCTGCTGTTCTTATCTCCTGACATGGGAGAAAGGTGGGCAGGAAACTTCACGACTCATGATGTGGTACGCCTTCCTAGCTACCTGAAGCCCAGACTAACCAGGATAGCACTTGGGTTCGGGCATGCGGGCCATATTGGAGAAAAGGGCTCTATGCTTTAGCTGGTGTTTCCCCTTGGCCAGCCTGTTGATCTCTGTCTGGCTCTCAGGTGGGTTCTGCTTTGCCCTGTGCTCCAGTCCTTTGCCATAGACTCCACTTCCCTAGAGCTTCAGGCCTCAGGAGACCCTGGGTCAAGAAAGTCCTCTGTCCTGTCTTGTTTCTTCAACCTCTTCACCTGGTCTCCCTAGTGACTTATCCTCTGGAGTCCAGAGCTTCTGTGGCTGACTCCTTTGAGTGACCCCATGACTCCCATATGTAGCTAACTCTCGGTTCAACCCCAGGATGCTAGTTCCCCCAGCCTCGTGTACTTCACGACTTCCCGTGACCGTTATGACCTTCCATGACAGTTGAACTCAGTCTCCATGCAGACACCCTCCACTGTGTATGACTGGACATTTAATATTCTCTGAAGTTGCTGGTTTCTGAATACCAGTGTTTTGAGAGGCCCTGCACTGACTGCTTGTGAATCACTCAAGCCCCAGCATCAGAGAGTGTGACCTCCTGGTTCCCGGGGGGACCTGAGAAGACACTTTTAGGACATGGTTAATATCTGAGCAGCTTCTGCTCTCCGGTAGGTTTGGAGGAGCTGTTTCAAGTATAATAGGGAAAGGTGTTCCAAACCCAAATCTCTCTCCGATTTCTTGCGTTAAGCAGATCAGCACCAACTCTGACCAATAGGGACTCCAGGGAGCCGCTTGCACATCAGGGGTTTTCAGAGCCACCAATCCTAGCCTGTAAGAACTGACACGGAGAAGCTGTGAGACTGAGGAAGGTGAGGGACAGAGATTATGGTTACATGCAGTTCAGTTCAGTGACTTGCTGATGAATGGGTAGTCTGGAGGGGCAGGCAGGCCAATTGGATCCTACAACTTGACTCAGAAAAAAAATAGTTTTTGATGAGTTTCTAGATTAGGACAAAAGTTATTGCATTATCGCCATAATGGACCTGTTGTCTTAGTAAGGTATCAAAGAGTCAGGGGCCTCTCCGGAGCCAGGTCTGATTGCAAAGCCCTGCATGCCATCCTAATGGTCTTATCTCTGTAGTTTACTGCCAATGTATGCAAGAAAAAGAAACAGCAAGGGTTAGCCTGGGGTAATTGCAGTGGATAGGACTCAAGATGGCCATGGTCGTGTGACGTTGAACCAGTAATCTGGGTTGTGGGTGGGAGCTCTGCTGCCAGAATGGGTTACTCCAGCAGGCTCTTGAAGAAAGGCTTATTCCCTCTGATCACTGAGCTAATAAGCTGTAAACAGAGGCCCAGGGGACTCCCTGGAGGGCTCCCTGGAGCACCCTTGCCTGGAGCTGTCCCCAGTAGAGTGATGAGTTAGCTGTAATCTAAAATTATCAAAAATCCTGTGGGTTCTTATTGAAACTGTAGCTCTCTGGGCCCAGATACAGGGTCAGAATTTCCCAAGGAATGACCTTTAAAAACAGACCACCATGACAGGGAGGTCGGGGCCATCGCTAAGCTTTCCCACTCTCTGCTGTGAGTAGTACCATTCCTATCTCCCCAGGTAGCTGCCGCTGCAATCTGCTCAGACTGGCATTCTCGGCGAGGGGAGTGTGTTTTCTCTGTTAAAAAGCAGAAATGTCCGTGGTAATTATAAACTTAAATTAGCTGTGTGACAGACTGGGCAGCCTTGAGAAGAGGGAGGAAATTATCTTCCAGGTTACCTAATGACTGTACACACCCCTGCTATCCCCATTTCTTTCCAGGCAGGAAGGCGGAAAGGGAGGGGGCATAATGACTTTTCCCAGGGCATCAGCAGCTGGCAGAGCGGGTGGGAATGTCTGGCCTCTGAGCCCTCTCCCCTTCCTGATGCTGAATTTATAGCTCTGCATCCTAATTGTGAGTCCATTCACACCGCTACCCAACCCGGCAAAGGAAATGGGGGCAATATCAGGGAATAGAGTTTGTGGCAGAGCCAGCAGGGGTGCACAGGTGAAGGCTGGTGGGGGGCAAGCAGAGGACGGGCAGCTGAACTCCCTGTCTGTCCCCAGGTACTGGAACTCCTTGAGCAACCTCGTGGCGTCCTTGCTGAACTCAGTACGCTCCATCGCCTCCTTGCTGCTGCTCCTTTTCCTCTTCATCATCATCTTCTCCCTCCTGGGGATGCAGCTGTTTGGAGGGAAGTTCAACTTTGATGAGATGCAGACCCGCAGGAGCACCTTCGATAACTTCCCGCAGTCACTGCTGACTGTGTTCCAGGTACGGACTTGCTGCTGCCATTCACACTGGGAGGGGGAGTTCAGCCAAGTGGGAGATGGGCAAGAAGAAGCCTTGAAAAGGTGGGGCAGGGAAAGCAGGACCCTTCTCTGGGCATGGTGCCAGCCTAGGTCATCCACGGAAGGCCTTTTTGTAGTGTCTTGTCTCTCAACCTTCCACGGAGCTGCATACGTGACTAGACTAATAATGCACCAATCTAATTGATCAGTTTAAAAAGGTTTGTGTGGCCATGGCACCCATTAGTCAAAACAAACAAAACCTGTATGAACACACCAGACAGAGAGGAGACTGATCTGGTTGGGAGGGAAAGGACCTGTCTTTGCTCTCCAGCATCCTTGCCCCAGCATTCTTGCCACTGGAAGAATTCCAGCTGGCCCAGAGTAGTGCTTTCATGAACGTTTCGGTAAATGACAGCTACATGTATTTGAAACAAGTATTTGAGTTTCAGAATGGACTTATTTACAAATAAAGGGAGCAATCTGTATATATTTATATTGCTAAAATCTTAATGATGGCACCAAATGATTATGTCTAATAGACGTGGGCATAGCCAGTCACCGTCCTCGTGATCATATTCGCCTGATACTGCCACCCCGGGAACTAATGGTGACCATCTCTTACACTGTATGTTAAGAGCAACATGATATTTTGATCACAGAACTTTTATATATGCCAGTGGCCATGCAGTTTGTCTGTGGGTAGGGGTCAACTTGCCCAGGCTTGTAGTCCCCAAGAATAAAAATTGGGAGCCAGAACAGGAAAAGTCTAAATGAGATTTGGGGAATTTCTGTTAACAAAGTGGGACAGGGCAGGGCAGGCAGGGCAGGGCAGGGGAGTTTGGGGGTTTGCTGTTGGTCTAACGCTGTGTCCCTTATTGGTGGGAATGTGTCATTCAGATCCTGACCGGGGAGGACTGGAATTCGGTGATGTATGATGGGATCATGGCTTATGGCGGCCCCTCTTTTCCAGGGATGTTAGTCTGTATTTACTTCATCATCCTCTTCATCTGTGGAAATTGTATCCTTTGATGCTGATGCTGCCCCAACCCTGCTATCCCACTTGGCCTTTTGCACAGTGCCATATGTGTGCTCTAAGGCCCCGACTGGGGCTCTGTGCTGTGGCTGCCCATCTGGAGGCTAGCTGGGCAAGACCATTCTTGGAAGGAAATGTGTTCTGGCCTAGAACCACTTAAGCCATGGTGTGGGTCTGGATGCATGCTGCAGCCGGGACCCAGGAGACAGTGCACCTCACATTCCTGAGCCCATTTACACTCGAGGGCCACCCTCTCTGGGAAGTGTGCTCTGGTCATAGTCTAGGTGAATGAGGCCCCCAAGCATTGCGGCCTGTGCAACCAAACTCGCACAGACTAGGACACAGTGCGTCTGGAGTTGTGTGCCCTGGCCACTCTGGAGCCACAGCACTTACTCAGATCTCCATCCTGTGCATTGATCAATTTCCTCCCTTTGACGCTGTTCTTGGGGCTGCAGTCATAGACAGATGAACAAATTACCAAGTCCTTCCTGATAGCTCCTTCCCGATCAGAGGCAGGGACAGGACTCCAGTGCCTCAATCCCTAGGCTTTTCTTTTCTCCCACTGGTTGAGCCTGTGAGAGTAGAGTCTAGAGCTGGTTGATAAGATAGAAACACCTCTAGCCCCAAATTTGAGAGAAACCCTTGGTTTGGGTCATTCAAAAGTAAAGAACACTATGCTACCTGCAGGGAATATTAGCATTCTATCAGCTAGATGCCCTTGGTATATCAAAGGCCTTCTTCTTTGGCATATCTACAGTGCAAGACAGGGTGAGAATCCCTGGTCCAATAACCCAGTGTCTGGAACCTTTTATGTGCCTACAGATTGCATTAGGTAGAAAACCACTTGAGCTTCTCATGTACAAAATTATTAAAGGTTTGTAGAAGTCAATGTCCAAGTATGTGTAAAGGATTGTATGAAAACAAATGTACTTTGGGCCCTGAGATAAATCCCATCATGTGTATTTCAAAATTTGAAAAATAAATTGAAATCCAGATCTTTGCTGCAGGCGTTCTGAATTTGCAGTGGAATAATCGAAAGTACTGCTTAAAGGGTCCCTGTGAGTTGGCTGGGAAAATGCATATAAGGGCTCCTTAGCTCCAGATTCAAGGGCCAAAAGTCAATAGTCATCTAGGACAAACCCTTCTCTGGGGAGTTCTAGCTCTGTGTAGCCAGTGGTGTGGTTTTATGGGTGCCCAGGACTGGGTATTGGGTTCAACAAACTTAAAACTGCCCAGCTATTCCTTCTTGGTTCTGTGGTTCTCTGGTCCATAGTGTTTCTGTTGGTTGAAAAGCGGGCTTGGCAGTGTGGGAGAGACAGGCAGATAACTGCTTCAACAAGAATTCTCAAATCGGCCCAGCTCTAGTCATACAGACACCTCAAAGTGTTTGTATGTCGTGGACTGACGGGTTCCAAGCCACCTCTTCAGTGCCGTGTTATGTGGATGGATCTTAAGAACAATCTGATAGAGGTGGTGCTGCCTCTCAAAGCCGGGCATTTCAGTGGTAAAATGAAGAATGAAATCCAGCCGTTAAAGAGCAAGGCAGAGCCTGGTGCTTCAGACCTGTCCTGCTCCAGTCTGCAAACCCTGCCTGGTCTCAACCACTTAGAAAACTGAACAGTGAGCAGGCAGGTAGGGACAGAAAAGAAGGCACATGGCTGGTCTCCACCCCTCAAAATGGGTTTCTCCTGGGGAGCTCTTACTTCTGCATGATCTGTACTCTCCCTGCCCCCTGTGGTCATCATGTTTCCCAAAACCAAGGGTCATTTTCTTTAAGAACGGACACAAACAGATATCCTACTGAATGTGTTCTTGGCCATTGCCGTGGACAACCTGGCTGATGCCGAGAGCCTCACTTCCGCCCAAAAGGAAGAAGAAGAAGAGAAAGAGAGAAAGAAGCTGGCCAGGTAACCCTCTAAGCTTAGAAAGTCATCCCCACTGGTGGGAGAAAGGGCTGGTGCTCATCCCGTGGCCATTTTTGGCTGAATTGGACTGGAGTGATGCTTTCACAGTACATTGGCTCCTCCTGTAGTGTCCAGCCGTTGCTGTATAGTCTCTGCAGAGACATTGCATTTCCCGCACCGGTCCAGGAAGTCAGGGGCTATCCCTTGGGAAGAGAAGCCATGGAAACACAAGGAGGAGATGGGGGAGGGGAAAAGCTGCCTTCGGAAGAAAACACAACTCCAGCTCAGCAAATAATGGTTTTCTCACTATTTTTGTACCCTTGGTGTGTTAGAAAGACAGAATAAGGTTCTACATTCCACCCCAGTTGTGTAGCTAGAACTGTCTTATGCCCTTGTTGGACACTGAGCAGAGATCCTCTAGGAATCCTAAGTGAGACCCAGAATCCTCTGATTTAAAAGGGGGAGCAACAAAGGATCTGGGAGAGGTCGAATGTGTCCCAGACAGAGCCGGGGGTGGTCAGCACTGTGGTACCTATCCTGGAGCTGTAGGTGTGATATCCCTAGAACAGAGATAATATATGTAGACCCAGGGCTGTTCTTGCTGCCCCCAGAAGACCACAAAGCAGTTCCTGTCTACAATGTCCACTATCATTCCAGTAAACATCCATTTCTGGGTTTTTTTCCTGCTGACCGGCCAGGACTGCCAGCCCAGAGAAGAAACAGGAGGTGATGGAGAAGCCAGCTGTGGAGGAGAGCAAAGAGGAGAAAATTGAGCTGAAGTCCATTACTGCAGATGGAGAGTCTCCACCCACTACCAAGGTGAGGGGCTGGCGTCTTTAGGAGCTCAGGGACTGTCACTAAGTGGCAGGGTGAGGGGGGTCTTCCTGTTCTTTACCTGAAGGAAAGGAAAAGAAGGGAAGGATGAGGGGAGAAGAGAGGGACGATGGAATTGAGGGGGAAGAAAAGACACGCTGGTGGAACCTCGGCCTTTCTGATGTTCCAAGGGGAGCTGAAAGCCAGGAGGACAAAGATGCATTTTTTGTTTTAAGCTCAGCGCCTGACTATGGTGTAATTCCAAGGCTCCTCTAAGCCCGAGAACCCTAGCACTCATCTAACTGAATTCTTCTTCCTTCATTTGTCTGCCTAGATCAACATGGATGACCTCCAGCCCAGTGAAAATGAGGATAAGAGCCCCCACTCCAACCCTGATACTGCAGGTACTGTTGTACTACCTGGCCCTGAGACTGAAAGGCTGTGGGTGGAGACTCAGCTATGTGGGAGTGGCCGAGCCCTGGGGTCCATGGGACTGGTCTCCTCTATGAACACCTTCACCACTAAGCGTCTCGTGTCTGGATTTAAGTATTGCCAGTTGCCGTCTGTGGGTTCCTCACAATAATATTGGGATAATACCATATTTGAGGAAGACTTTTTGAAATAGAATTACTTTGGCTTATTCTTTTTTAAATTTCTGTTTTATTGTTTAAGAAAAGGGGGAAGTATGCAGGATACAAATTAAATATTTTCTAATAGTAGTAAATTTCATGAAGAAATTTATCATAAAATAATTCTTCCATATACAGATCATTTACCAGCTATTAAAGGCTAATGCAAATTTTCATACTAATGAGATATATATAGGCTTGTTTTCATATAAAGAAACAAATCTTGGCTAAATATTCAGTGTTGCAGGTCACAGAGCATCTTCAACATTTCTCATAGTTGATCAATATTTTTATTTTATAATTGTCAGCGCTAAGAATACTTCTCACATAAAACATATTAAGCAATAGACCTATGCTTAGGGCCAGATAAAGCAATTGCTAGAAGTGTCATCCTAATCCCAAACCAAAATTCATTTCATGATTTTTCTTAATGACACTCAAGTCAGCAACTCAAGCAGCACTTTTTAAAATCTAGAGATCCGCTGGTTCTTATGTTAGAGGAATGATAGTGAACTATTGCCTGTTTCCCACAATTAAACCATTATGTGTCTACAACAGCAGAAGACTCTGTATGAACTTTACGATAGGCAATGGCTTTAAATCCGAATTGCGACATCTCCAGCAGCGCTCGCTGGCGTGGCTTGGCGTGCAAGTGCCTGCTGGATGTTGAGAACTTAGGCTGCACCAAAGCTGTGTGAATCATAGCGGGTGCTGGCAGAAGCACTTTCGGCGCCTCTCACCTTTGCTTTCGAGTTCCGTTTTGGTGGCTGCACAGTCATAAACCTTTCACTATGGGCAAAGCTTTTACAACCCCTCTGTATAACAGCCGCGGCCCACCGCGTAAGAAGCTGTGCCCCTGCGCCACCGATGTGGTTAACGTTTCGTCCCACCACGTGTGTCGCTGTCACTGTCAACTTACGTATTTTATTAGTATAGCATATGCTGCTGCATCCAGCTCACCTAATAATAGTCAATCCAGAATCCATCTTGTCATTACTCAGGAGGCATTGCTCACTAGGAGGACAGCTGCCGTCACAGATGTCCCATTTGTAGCTCCATAAAATGCTCAGGTCTCTCGTTGCCAAAGGAACTCCTGCTGACAAGATTCTGTGCATTTGTCTGATGCGTGACCTGACAGGCAGTCTCCTTTCAGAGGGTTTTAAGGTTGGAGGCCCTGGCTGTCCCGCCACAATCTACATCCCAACTTCCGGAAGCCCCATCCCAACGTGAACCTTAGGCTTGCTTCCTCAAGCTGCCAGTTTGTCTCAAGCTCCAAACTTGAAGGCAACGCACAGAAAATGACTGTGGATTGTAAATGACCTTTCTTCTTTAGCCAGGTTAGACTGCACTCGGCTGGTACCCCAAGGAGGTGGCCAAAAGCCAAGCTAAGCTATGTCTCCTTGTTGCTTTCCCCCACTGGTTCTCTGCTTGGTCTACAGAGATGGTATAGGCCTCCTCCCTGGCAACAGCTCACTTTCTCCTTCACCCTTACTCCCTTCTCCCTGCAAGAGAAGTAGGAGTTGGTGTCTGCGGCTCACAGGAAGAGCCGAGTGTGTCCAGGGTTTGATGTCTCAAAATCCTAAGGGTTTATGGGGAAGGCTGTGCAAATCTTAAAGACTTGCTAGAAGCAATGACTCAAAGCAAAGGAAAGATTTTTGTCTATGTCCCCAATAAATAAATTCTATTCTGTAATGATGTTTTCAAGATAATTGGGAGAAAAATTGAATATGGACCAGGGGCTAAATTATTTTAAGTAGATTTTTGCTAATCATGTTAGTATAATAATGTGGTAATTCTGTTTCTAAAATACAACAGTGTTTATGTCTAGAGTCTGAAGTGTTTAGAAGTTGCTTTAAAAATGGTTCAACAATCTCCTAAAGTGAGAGCAGAAAAGATAAGTAAAACTACATCAGCCAAATGGCAGTAGATGGAGAGCCACCTTACAAGTCTCTCTACTCCTGTAAAGTCTAAGTAAAGTTATAGTAATATATAAGCAGAGCCCATCCCAGGCTAGTGTGGCCTGTAAGAGGCAGCCCCATGTACACTGTGCCTGTATCTGAGTCTTTTCAGCTAAGCCCCCTGAACCCCCACTTCTGCATGTCAGAGGGATGGCAGACCTCCTAAGTCTGTGGCAGTGACCTTGAGCTGTGTTGTTCTAAGTAGAACGTAGAGTGTTGGCTTTTTTTAAGCCTCTGGTAGACACTTGCCTTCATTTTTCTTGGTCCTTTCACCCCTTTAATTCTTATGTTGGTCAGCTTCCTGTCAGAGAAAAATACCAGAAATAGTGACTCTTTCAGGATGAAGGGCTCTGACTCACTCACGGGTTCAGAGGTCGAAGTCCGTGGTCTTTTGATGGAGTCACATGGGCCTTTGGCAAGGCCCAATAGGTCAAGGGTGGGTGGGTGTAGGAGGTTCTGTTTCTTAAGAAAGTGTGGAAGTTTCATCCTCAACAGAACCAAGGGCTGCTGGCATGGGGGTGTAACTCAGCTGATTGAATGCTTATCTCCGATCACATAGCCCTGGGTTCTATCCTCAGACCGCGTGGGCACCACATAAAACAGATGTGGTAACCCACACATATAACCCCAGATATAATGGAGGGATGGATGGGGAGGTCAGTCCCTGAAGGCCGGGTAGTCGGGACACTGGGGGAAAGGTTACTCTCCAGCGTATGTTTTCTGGGAATCAGATGGGGAAATATGGGTGGGGTTTTTTGTTTGTTTGTTTAGTTGACTAGAATTTTGATGAATTTTTTGTTTTGTTTTGTTTTTTTACTTTTTGTTTTGAGACAAGGGCTCATGTTGTAATTCTGGTTGGCCTGAAACTTTGTATATAAACCAGGCTGGCCTCAAACTCACACGGACATCTACCTGCCTGTGCCTCCTGAATACTGGAAAGTGTTTGGTTTTTTGCTTTTGTTTTCAGTCTCAAGTATAATTTGTTAATTTTTAAAGGAATAGTCTTATTAAATTTATTCCTATTTTATTAATATCGGATGCATTCTGTTTGCCTTCAGCTGCCTGTCCTCTCCTATTGCCCACCTACCCGTGTTTGTCCCCTCCCTCTGCGCCTACAAGGCCCTTTCTCATATCCATGTCTCTGCGCTAACATTCTTGTCAGTTCTGCAGAGCAGGCAATGAGAGGAAGCTCAAAGTGGAAGAGCATTAGCTTCAGCCAAAGCACACAGTATTACAGCTTCTTGGGCCCTAAGAAATAACTGCACACCGGGCACCTTAAAATAAACTAGGTTGATTCTATCACACTTTCACATGTCTGACATCAGAGTGTTAGCAGCGCCCTTCTCCTTCTGCAAGGAAAGAATCCTTGCGTGTCTCTTCCTCTTTCCTTTTGGTAGCCAGAAATGCTCAGCTTGTAGACCTACCACGCTCATCTGTGCCTCTGTCTTCATTCGCATGGCCTTCTAACCTGTGTGTGCCTTTAGACCTTCTCGGAAGACCAACTATCATTAGATGTACGGCCTAACATAGTCCACCATAATTGATCACATCTGCAAACACCCTGTGTCTAAGGTCATACTCTGAAATTCGGGTGAGCATGACTTGGAGACTACCAGTCAACTCACTGAAGTTACTGGCCACACAATGGTTGGATTTAAGCAGATAGTCTGTTAGGAATTCAGAGCAGACAGGATGAGACTGAGAAAGACGTGGAAAACTAACTTCATATGCTCTGTATCTGTCTTCTGGGGAGATGGTAGTGTGAGAGCTGCCACTTACACGACTTCAGCTACACACCAGTGTCCTGAAATATCTATGTGCTATTAGTGTTATTCCTTCAGAGGGGAAGCGGAGCATGGGGAGAGTGAGTGTAAGAGCCATATTCAGAAAGCAGCAGAGTCATGATTTAGATGAAGGCATTTTCTGGAACATTTCTGGGTATGGCAGCCATTGCAAGCTATCTTTCCCAGGCTGTTGATTTCCAAGCACACATAGCACCATCCCTGGAGATGCTGTGAGGCGAGCTAAGTAGGAATGGGTCGATTGATTTCCATGCGGTCTAGCCACTGGCCAGGAGAGCAGAGGAACCCTTCACCTGATGTCGCTGTCCAGCATCAGGACGAAAGCCTCTTGTCATTGCTTGAGCTCCGCTATCCCTGCCTCACCTTCTGGGAAATCATAGGAAAATGCAGGGCTTTTGAAGTGCAGTTTTTAAAAATGAATATTAATTCAATTAATTCCTTGACGATTTTATGTATTTATTAACATATAGTGCATTCTGATTACTCTTATCACCATACCCCCCATCTTTCCCAACTCCCTTCTACCCCTGTCGTGCACGCCCTCCTCCCTACAGTCGTGTCTTTCTGTGTGGCTCTGTGACTCAGGGTTTAATCAGAGCTGCCTGGGTGACTGGCATTGGAGCTGTCCACTGCAGCCTGGTGGGCTCTTCCCTGAGTATTCAGCTGATGACAATGACTGCCCCTCCCCAGAATCCAGTGACGCCAGTAGTTGAGCGTGGAGAGGTAGCACCCCACAAGTCTCTTCTTCCCACCCTTGATTGACTAACGGCAGGCCCAGTCTTATGCAACCCAAGCTGCTGTGGGATCTCGCCTGCAGTGGCTGTCATTCCCAGAAGACAGCAGTTTGCGGCCCTCGTTCCTGTCTTCAGACTCACATGTTCCGTCCAGTCCTTCTTTTGTCGTGTTCCCTGGGTCTTAGATATAAATGTCCTATTTCGGACTAAGCACGCAGCTGTCACCTATGCTTGGCACCTACAGCAGCCATGAGTCTCTGTGTTCACTACCATCCATTGCGACTGGAAAATTCTCAGATTGCTGCTGAGAGTACCGTTTGTCTGTGGGCATAAAGATAAACTCTTTCAAAGGCAGTTTGTGGCCATGTCCGTTTGGGTACAAAGCAATAGTAAGTTCCCTCATTTGATCAATGGGAGTTTCAAAATCGGACTTGGCCAGACGGGATTGCGCAAGTCAGCTAGGCCACCCCCTTCTCTCACCTGCAGCTAAGATGGATGGGTGACACCTGGCAGTGCCCCAGCCTATCCCAACCCACTCTCTCGTACCTTTCAACCAATCGTAACAATCTTCTCTTTTTCTCAGTGTTAGGGGGTTTTCCAGCATAGGGGATTTTCAGTTTTAAAACCACAAGTTTGGACAAAGTAGAACATATCCTATTTACAGCCCTTAGAACGCTATACTTCCAGCAAAGCCTTCGACAGCCCCATGGAGCAGGGCAGAGTATCGGCCTGGATTAACACATTCTACAGCTCAGAGCACCAATAATGTCTTGATCCTGCCGTAGGAGGTGTCCGGAAGGAGGCACAGAGGGGAGAGCAAGTGCTGGAGTTGAGAATGGAGCTTTTGCTCTTTCTTACAGGGGAAGAGGATGAGGAGGAGCCGGAGATGCCTGTGGGGCCACGCCCCAGGCCCCTGTCCGAGCTACACCTTAAGGAAAAGGCGGTGCCTATGCCAGAAGCCAGTGCGTTTTTCATCTTCAGCCCCAACAACAGGTGTGTAAGAGTGGCAAGGGAAGGAAACTGCTTCCCCCTGGATTCAATCCTACAGGAGAAGCCGAGGTGCTCCTGGCTCCCCACAGCCTCTGTGGAGACACTAGATTAGGGATGTCCTGGATCATGAATCAGTTGGTCTGTGGTTAGTTCCATCTTCAGGATTTTCACGTGTGAAATATTCCTAGTGGGCCACACTAAGTCCATTTGCCTTAAGACACCGAGGCTCAGCGGTACTGAACTTGTCCTGCCTGTATCCCACCTTTCGTGACATCTCCTTCCTCTTCCTCCTTCGTCCACAGGTTCCGCCTCCAGTGTCACCGCATCGTCAATGACACGATCTTCACCAACCTGATCCTCTTCTTCATTCTGCTCAGCAGCATCTCTCTGGCTGCCGAGGACCCCGTGCAACACACCTCTTTCAGGAACCATGTATGCACTCGGTTTTGCTCTCTGCACCCTGTCCTTCTGAGAGTGGAGCGGGCCCACAGCTTCTGCTGCTGATGTCTTTGCTCAGTTAGGAGGCCCTTTCTGGACCTCATAATCCAATTACAGTGACGAGTCCTCTAAGAGATTAGAACCTTGATAGAAAACCCAGCCCGGGAGTTTTCACTGAGCAAGTGAGCATGTATCCAATGCATCTGGCTAGTTGATAATGGACAGTGATCAGGAATCTTGTTGCCTGTGGATGTTCCCCAGGAAGCTCAAGTTGCCTGTAAGTCAGCAATGTGGCCACGGGTTTCGCGCCCTGCTCCCATTCCCTCTGACTAAGAAGGAGCATTGGCAATTAGGTGCCGATGTTAAGGCTGACCTTATAAGAAAAGTAATTTAAAAAACAAACATGATAATCTTCACGAGTAAATATGTTTGGAGCTACCCGAGGCTCTCATAATCAACATTAAATACTAAAAAGAATTGCCATACTTCAAAACTCCCAAAACTTTATTAAATTTCAGCCACACAGGCATGAAGAAAAAAGAGCCACTCTCCAAAGCTACGTCTATAAATAAAGTTCTCAACTCTGGGATTCTACCTGTTCCAGGCTGTTTGCTGAGGTCAGGAGGAGTAGCCTCAGACCTGGTCCATCTCATAAGATGAAATCAAATATCAATGCTAGAGTTTGTTCTCAGCCTGGGCTGGCCTGGAGGATTTCCTTCCTAGGGCTCCAGGCCATGACAGCAGTGTGGATGTCCTCCTCTGACATAGCATGCCCCAGCTGGATGAGAGCTGGGCATTCTAGTGGCCCTGCAAAAGCAAACCCATTCTCTGCTCTCCTGACCAACATCCCGTGGTCTATTCTGGGTTTATAAGTAAATCGGGTGGATGACGGAAGGAAGCATCCAGATGGACGCTGTTCTGACCTGGTTCCTGTTGAGGCCTGCCCCGGCAGCTCCCCCTACCTGCCTACAGAAACCAAGCCGAGCCAGAGCCACCTGTGCCAGCTCTGAGTGGGAACTAATGTGGGGAAGTCTTTCCTACCTGTCTCCTCGCCTGTCTCCGTGTGGAAAGGCTCTGGTGGTGGACGGGGGATGCGCCTTGTTTTGAAGTGCTTTTCCTTTTCTGGTGAACATCCACTGACCTCGCCCCTTTCCTGCTTGTGTCCTGCCCTCCCTCCCCCCCCCCATCCTATTTGTTTTTGTTTTGCAGATTCTGTTTTATTTTGACATTGTTTTCACTACCATTTTCACCATTGAAATTGCTCTGAAGGTAAAGCCCCATCTCCCTCTCTCTTCCTCTCTCTGCCAGTCCCGGCTCTCCGCTGCTGTCTGTCTTGTTGCTAACACATGCTCCTGTTGGTGTTGGGTGCACTCTCAGAGCCACTAATCCAATTCTGCTTATTTTTCAGATCCTAGGCAATGCAGACTATGTCTTCACTAGTATCTTTACATTAGAAATTATCCTTAAGGTAATGCCCCTGAGCCATGTGTCTCCGTCTCTCTGTGTCTCTGCTCTGTCTGGTGACTCTTCCGTTTCCTTCACTCTCTGACTCTTGTGTCCTCACTTCATGCTCCCACTTCGCCTCAGCTTAGCCGCCAGGAGGAAGCCACCCTACCACACCACTCCCATCCACTCACTCAGCCGCAGTTCTAGGCCTCGAAAAGTCACGCACTGGCTGTGTCACCATGGGTGCTGTCCCGTCACTGGCTGAGCATGGTGGCTGTCGGGGGTGCTCACAACCCACGTTCGCATGTACCTTCTAGAATCAGTCAGTGGCTGAGCCCCATTTGAAATTCTCTCTCCCTCCTCCTGCGTAGAGGAAATGCCAAACAAGCTCTAGAAAGGCAAACCCTCTGGAGCATGAAGGAGTCACTTTGGCTCCTGTGGCTGGAGGTTTATCATCAATCCCTTTCTCAGTGTATCAAGGCAAACATAATGGCTAAGCAGAAGTTGGGCCATGTGATGGTTAGTAACGGTGGGCCTGAAACAGGACTGGGAGCCAGCATCACAACTGAGACACACAGCAGACAACTAGAGGTTGTTTCTAACCCCGTATGACCTGCTTCTCTAACCCCCCACCCCCGTAAGCTGCAGCTCAGATGAGAGAGGTTTTTTACAGGTTGTTACACATACATCTGCACCTGTAAATCAATGCATGGCCTTGGTAGTCTACCTAGGCTGCAGGACCTCAGGTAATATTGGCTTCTCTCTGAGCAAGAGGGCGATTTTACCCTCAAGCAGAACAAACAGAGGAGTCCTAGTCTCTGGTCACAGGCTTCAGCTTAAGCATCTTCCTGGGACGCTTGCCTGGGATGCCCTCTGCCAAAAAAGCCCATGCCTCTCTTCGGCTCATCCTTGGGGTGGATACAAGCCACTGTCCACTCTGTGTTTTCCAGTACCGCTCCAGGCCTCTCTTTTCCTGACGAAACCCTCAGATCGTGCCCAGCCTTTTAGAGGGCTTGACATTTCTGTGCCATCCGGATATGACTTGAGTTGGGCAGATTCTGTGTCTCCCAGGATGTCCTTATACCTCAGAGGCTCAGTGGTCCTGACCCTTAGCTTCCCTTGCTCACCAACTGTGTGGCTCAGATGTTTCTTTCCTGCTCAGAGATGTTAGATGGGGGACACATTCCTGGAAGTAGGTGCCTAGAGCCTACATTCCGATTCCTCCTTTCCACGGTGAGCCGCGTTGCTGCTGCACCCTAGACTCAAGGTCGCATACGGGTCCTGGAGGAGCTTTCCCAGGACAAGAAAATCTCTGAGGCCCAGTTCCCAGGACCCCAGGCTGAGCTTCGCTTGAGGATTTCAATGGTGCTTTCTCCTTAAGATTGTCATGCAAGCGGAGATGAGAGTCTCTGCAAGCATTGCCATGGCAAGCCCTTCCCCCCACTTCTTCCTTTGGCTTCCAGTCTCTTTTTCGCTCACTGTGCTTTCGAATACTCCTCCCGCATTCCCACTCCACTTCCCACACCTCCCGCGCCTGGGTTTGTCTGCCCAGCTGGGAGGTCCTGTATCATGCCAAGACACTGATTGTGGTGGTGCCCAGAGCCTCATTTGCTCTAAGGGATTGGTGAAGAGCCATTTGTCTTTGAAAGGAAAGGACAGGTAGGAGCGTACTAGTTAGTTTGTCCTGCCAAGAATGAAAGTAGAATCAGAACCAGCCAAGGAAGTGGCATATGTGACAGGGTGGCTTGTCCCTAGAGGTTACCTGGAGAAAGGTGATTGTCTGGGTTGGGTGCGAGGAGAAAACTTCACCTGCAGCTCAAAGAACTTGGAAGCTTTTTTTCTCACCCCATCCCTTTCTCAAGAGCGTAGATGCCTAGTCCCGGGCCTTTCCTCGGAAATAGTTCAGGATTTAGGGACCAGACGGGTGACAATCTAGTGGCACAGGGTAGAAGAAGGTCACTTGTCCAGGTATCTGTCCCTGGCTTTTTCTGGTGCCATGAATGCACATAGACTTCAGATAAATGTTCTGTCTTCCGAGTTTCTTCCCCTTTCTCACCCCACTCTTCCTCTGGTCTCGCCTGGGCACATGTCCATTGCTCCCACCCAACATCCTCATACATTCTAAAGGGCTGCTCTAATTCTAGCATCCATGACAAAACATGCCCAAAGTCAAGAGACAGAAGTTGTGTTGTGAGCCACATTGTCCCTGTCCAGGACTTCCTGAAGAATATGAACTGTGGCAGACACTTAACTCTACTGTCTGGGGTCCAGGTTTTCACAGAGCCATAGGACAGGGAGCCCTCCAAATTGTAGTCTTTGGGAGGGATCTGTAGCCATATTACCCCAGAATCTTTTATGTAATCTCCCCACTTCTGAAAACTGCTGCCGAGCACAGATTCCCAAGTCCCCTGTGATCTCCCGCTGTAGGAGATAAATGGCAAGAATTAGGTCACAAGAGCTATTTTTGCCAATTTCCCCCTGTATTGGTCTTTGGGTGTACATCCCTAGACATGCTCTGATTCCAAAGAGAAAAACTGGACTCCAGGTGACCAGGAAACTGTTCTTGGTCTCTCAACCATCAGTTCCACATTTTTTTCTTGGGCAGATGCTCTGTGACCGGTAGCTTTATTTAGGCTCCTCCTGGGTCTCTGCGAGCCTTTGCTGCAGTCAGCAAAGTGTGAGTGTCCAGAGTGCAGTTTCTTACAAGCACAGGGAAGAATGTGAGTCAGATCCTAAAACAATAATCATCACCTGACATGCTCTTGTTTTGAACATTTTTAGAGAACGTTCTTTGCTGTCTGACCCATGCAAAAACATGAAATATCACTCACACTTTATAGATAAGGGCACAGCTTCTGTTATATAGGAGGAATATAGATTTCAAACCCAAGCCATAGTGAAAGTGAACACACCTATGGAGCTTGTCATGTGCAGAAACATGTCCTAAGTGCTTCGTGTGTGACCACTCCATTGATGCTCACAACCCATGGGACAAGTGTTACCATTATCCTAATGTTGCAGAGAAAGAAAATGAGTCACAAAAATTTCATTTTTTTTTTTTTGCATGAGGCATGTGAAATATAGCAGAGCTGGACTTTGAATCCAGGTCATCTGGCTTCAGAGGCTGTATTTTACCCCACTGTTCCACCTTGGCCCTCTGAACATAGCTCCTGCTCTTTAAAAGACCCCATCGAGCTTCTACATTTGACAGAGACCCTAAGCATTGCTGAGACCAGCATGTAGAGAAAGGCTAACTACAGTTATTGTTACCGACAGAGCTTTTCTAGAATATGGGATTTTTTTTTAATGGTAAATCCAATTAAGTCCTGGACAAATCAGGATGGTCAGACGCCCATCTGGGCATGTCTCGTTCTTCCATTGATGCCTCATGTCTCGGCTGGCCCTGAGGGTGAGATGGGGAAAGAAAGTTAGAAGCCATGCACACAGTGGGAACATAACCTATGCAGAAGCAGCAAAGGACCCTGCAGGGTGCAGCCGTTTTGGCCTTGGGATGAAGGACAGTGGAATGTTAGCAAAGTGTCATGGTGCCGACCTGAGGTTTGGAGTTGAAAAACCTGACACTTGTCAGAGCTACTTAATGTCCCGAGCTGGGGGGCGGGGTGTCCTTTGGTAGCTGAAGGAATGGCGGAGGAGTTTCTTGGCACTGCGTCACCTTCGGTCCTTCCTGCTATCCCTGTGCAGTGCTTGGGCTCTTCCCTGGAGATGCTGATGCTGTAGGCAGGAAGCCCGGTGTCTAAACGTCTCTGAAGCCTGGGTGGGTCACTCACTCATGTTCTCTCCTCCCTGCAGATGACCGCTTACGGGGCTTTCCTGCACAAGGGCTCTTTCTGCCGAAACTACTTCAATATCTTGGACCTGCTGGTGGTTAGCGTGTCCCTCATCTCCTTTGGCATCCAGTGAGTCCCTCAACCCAGGATGGAAGCAAGCAGCTAGGAGTGGGTGTCAGAGAAGTCAATCAAGCCCTGGAGGGCCTTCATGTGGGACTCTGACAGTGTGACTAGGATTGGAATGGGGTGGAGCCTAAAGTAGTACCCAGTGTTTCTCCTCCCCCCCTCTTCCCTCTCCTCCTCCTCTTCCCTGTCCTTTCCTTGTGGTACTTGGGACTGAACACAGGGCCTAACTTGTTAGGGAAGTGCTCCAAGCTCTTTTAGTTTTTATTTGATGTAGGTCCCACTAAGTTGCCCAGGCTGACCTTGAACTTATGACTTCCTACTTTAGCTCCTGAGTAGAGAGGATTATAGACCTGCACCACCAGCCCTACTTAATTTCTTATATCTGTGTCTTTCATGGTCTGACACTTGAGGTCCACAAGAATTTGTTTAAATGTCAGTATTTTTGTCATGGCAGGTTCAGACCCCATTACAAACAGGCATCTGTGGTACCCTCCTCTCTCTAATCCTCCTTCACTGTACCTAAGGCCTGGGGCTGCCCTAGAGCTGCCCAAACCGGCATTGCTATGACCCACCCTAGCCTAGCCCAGCCTTTTCCCCTGATTCCCACATCTGTCCTCAGTCAAAGTCCATGCACACACCTACACATGATGGGGGTATGCACTTCTGTTCTACAATGAGGAGGGGGAAGAGAGAGATTAAGAAGGAGGAAGGTAGTGAGCACTGCTTCTCAACCTTAGCTGCACAGAGGAACCTTCTGGGAAAGTTAAAAAGAATGCCTTTTTCCTGGGCCCCACCCCTGGAGAGTCAGTTGCACAAGGACAAGGAATGAGTTGTAAAACTCTCTAACCTGAGTCCTTCTCAGGCCAAGTTGCAAAAGTTTCTCTCAGGGTTGAAAGAAATTTGTTTCTGAGTTTCTACCTATTCTAACAGCTGTGCTTATTAATCCTACACTTGGAGTTTTAAAACATTTTCACAGATCTGTTCTTCCGTGGTACACACATACACACACACAGGTACACACACACTACTTATAAGGTAGGCAAGGAAATACTTTTATAAATTTTGGTGTTCAAGACATTCAGCCAAGGTTATACCAGTGACCAAGGCTTGTATCCCAGGCATTGGGTCTCCCTTCCCAAGGTTGGCTCATGGTTAGCCTCTATGGTGATATGGGGGCCATGGAAGTGAGACCTTTTTCTTTGGTCATCAATTATGTTACCTAAAATTTCTCTTTCGGAGGCTAAACATCTAGAGTCCCACCTCAACACTACCAAGGTCACTGTTTCACATGAACCAACAACTCCTCTTGGTTATTTTGATTGTTTTGTTTTGTTTTGTTTTTGAATCTGCCCTTAATTTTTTTCCATTGTGATGCAGTTCTAATTTCTTGCCTCCCAAATGCTGTGGAAGCAGTGACAGAGAGAAATGGCCATTGTGGCTTTTGAAGTAAAGATCCATGGACTAGGGAAACTGCATTTTTTTGTACTATCTCTCTCTTGACATAGGAAGAATAAGATCCGCACTTGCTAACACATCAGACCCTAGTTATTTTGTTTGTTTGGTTGGTTTTTGGTTGGTTGGTTGGTTGGTTGGTTGGTTGGTTCCCAGTCAAGTCTGAATCCTCTTGTCACATGCTGGAGCAGATACTTTAATTAGACAGCACCTCAGGTCAGAGGTCACTTCAGAGGCTACTGAGTGTGGTTAATGACTTCTACTTGGGTTGGACAGATGGAAGCCATCTAGCCATCTCGATGAAGGACTTATGGGGGTACCTGTCACCACTTCCCACCAGGAAGTAGCCATAGCCCAAAGCACCCAGATAGGCTGGCATGACCTTGGCATTCCATGGTTCTTGGGACACCACTTCTTCTTTGAACATTTTTCCTGGCGTACACCACTGCCTCCTGGAAGTCTGAGCATGTCCTGAACCATGGTAGAATTTATATAACAGTAGTGGGCAATGGCCCAGTCATTGTGTTTGGAAATATTCCAGAATTACTTCCCCGTGCCTACCACCTCCAACCACAAAGCCTCAAGTTTCACCATCAATGTGCATTTGGTATGTACTGTGGTGATGTCTTCAGCAGGCAAGATAGTGAAAACTGCCATTTTACTTGGTGTATTTATACCGTGCCAAGTCCCTCTACCTAATGTCCATAAATTCCCCTTCAGTCCCTGAAACAGTCCTTGGAGCTAATTACTGCCCCATTTTCCAGATGAAAAACCAGGGCACAGAAAATTAAGAAATGTGTCCTGGTGCAGCTGGCAGGTCACAGCGTGGGGACTGATGCAGGTCTGGCTGGCTTTCATTGTCACCTTTGACACTGTAGACATCTCCTAAGTCACATATTAATTTGCTAGGGACTTGGTTTTTGTGCCCCAGCCCCTCCCTACACCGGGGCTAGAGACCAAAAGAAGGCCTCAAGCATGCCAGGCAAGCCCTCACCCTTAGCGGTGTCCCCACTGCTGCTGTGCCTTTACTACCAGGGTCACAAAGGTCCCAGGGGCACAAAGAGGCCCCAGGTTCTTAGCACTGAGTGATAGAAGTTCTCAGTTCCCAAGCAGAGTCTTCCTTCCTTCCTTCCTTCCTTCTTTCCTTCCTTCCTTCCTTCCTTGCTTCTTCCTCCCTCCGTCCTTCCTTCTTTCCTCCCTCCCTCCCTCCCTCCCTCCCTCCCTTCCTCCTTCCTCTTTTCTTCCTTCCTTCCTTTTTCCTTTATTGTCTGTCTAAGAGCAACCGCTCAGAACAGCATCCGCACACACACCATTCTCCGCGGTAGCCCAGGCAGGGGAACTAACCACCCACCCTGCTTCTCTCCCAGGTCCAGTGCAATCAATGTTGTGAAGATTTTACGAGTGCTGCGGGTCCTCAGGCCCCTGAGGGCCATCAACAGGGCCAAGGGGCTAAAGGTAAAGTAAGAGGGTCTGGGCGGACAGCATCAATGCAGTAAACATTATCCTCTGAGTGGTGGAAGCTGAGGTGACGGACAGGCTACAGGTGGAAGAGTGTCACCTGTGGTAGAGTCACTCTCTTAAGTGTTTCAAAGGATTGCACCCCCACACACACACACACGATAAGTCAGTCTCTATATACCTGGTTCTTGGCAAGGCAGTCACTGAAGCTGGTACCCCAGAAACGCTAATTTGCATCAAGATAGCATAAGCAGAGATGTTTACTGACTTGAAATGGACAGAGAGGGGCCAGAACACTAGGAAGTTGTTGACCATCCCTTGCCAGGATCTAGCAATCATGGAGTATCGATGGTTCTCCTAGCTGGTTCCTAGGAGCCATCTACAGGGGTTACGGGGCCGGCTCCAGGAAATGGCCTCCAGAGCAATTGAATTTCCCTCATTTATTCCTTACCCGGCTCATCCGACAGATGCCACAAGGCACACACAATACTCGCCCACTTAGGTTAACGTTCGGATAGGTAGGACTAAGACAAGGGAGAAGCCATTTTTAAGTTAACTAACATATTGTTTTATCTTCCAAACCCTTGTCAAGGCAAACAAACAAACACAACCCACAGATTTTCCCTTAAAGAGGATACGAGGTAGTTTATTTTGGTGCCAAATATAAATGATCCTAACTCGATGCTCCAAATACCATGTTTTTGTTGTTAGTTACTCATTCCTTTTTTTTTTAAATTGGCTTGCAGTGTAACAGGTTTTCTCCTCGTGGAATTCTCATCCTTCACTCTAACCATCTCCCCTCTTTTCCCTTCACACCTGCCCCCTGTACCCCTCCACCCTCAGGATTCCCGCTTCCGCTTTCGTATGTCACGTGTTCTCCTATCCCCCTTCCTTGAAGCCTCTTTTTCCATCTCATTGCCCCCTTTCTTGTTTCCTGGAAATTGCCCTCATTTGCTCCCACCTAAATACACGCACTCAATTAGAAGCCAGCGTATGGATGAGAGAACTTGTAGGTATTGTCTTTCTGTGCCTAGATCACCTTACATAACACAGTTCTCCGATTCCATTCATTTTCCAACAAATTTCATTAACTTTTCTTTATGTTGAAAAAAAATTCCACTGTTTATACGTACCACATTTTCATTATCCACTCAGCTGCAAAGACTATGTTTTCATGTGGTACCACTTGAAAAGTTTGTGTGTGGGTGTATGTATGCATACACAGTGTGTCACAATCTTATCTCCCCCTTTCTCTCCTGCCCCACATACTTCCCCCTACCATCTCCTGTCTTGCTCCCAACTTCTTCTCTTAAACAACTCACAGATTCAGTCCAATTGGTATTGGGCATATGTGCATTGGGGGAGGGTTATCAACTGGGGCACTGGCAATCTGCCAATGGCCAGTAACTCTCCGTCCTGTCCCTCAGAGTGCCATTAGCTCCTCAGCTACGGTCAGGTATCAGGAGGCCCTCCACCTCCATGCTGGAATTCTTAACTCTTTTGATAAAACTGGTGTCATTTCATAAGACTTCTTAATAAAGCCAAAAGTTTGGTTAGCCCATTTACCACCTCTGATTTTCCCAACCCCCTTTCTCCCATCTCCATGTGGATCCTTTAGCTCTCAGGAACCACAACCCCCTCCTTTCATACGTGTTCTACTCTCCCGTTTTATTATAATGTTTGCTTTGCTTTCGAGGTCATAGTTCCCATGTGTCTTCTTCATGCACACTTCATTTTGCTTAACCCTTTCCCCATCCCTTTTCCTTCAGCCCCATCACTACAGGACCTGCTTAAACTTTTCCATCTTCTCTACCTTGTTTCTATAACCTGTCCCCTCTTCATAAGTGTATTCCACATCCACCAGCCCACTGCTAGTTCCCGGACTTCCATATGTACTCCAGGATACATACACAAAACACATTATTTGAATCTGACAACCATCATATAAGAGAAAACATACAATTTTTGTCCTTCTGAGTTGGGGTTACCTCATTTAATATAATACTTTCCAGATCCATCCATTTTTCTACAAATTTTGTAATTTCATTTTCTTTACAGTTTATGTCTCTCTTTAACAAAGATGATAGTTGGGTTTCCTTTGCTGTGTTGAACACCATGACCAAAAGCAACCTGAGGAAGAAAGAGTTTATTTCAGCTTACAATCATTGCCCATCATGAAGAGAAGCCAGGGTAGGAACTCAAGGCAAGAACTGAAGCAGAAACCATGGAGGAGTGATGCCTACTGACTTGCTCTTCGTGGCTTGCTCAACCTGCTTTCTACCCATTTAGGGGTGGCACCACCCCCAATGGACTGTGCCCTTCCACGTCAGTCATTATCAAGAAAATGTCCCATAGACTTGCCTACAGAATCTGATGGAAGCGTTTTCTCAATTGAGTTTCCTCTCCCCACAACTCTAGCTTGTGTCAGGTTGACAAACCACCCAGGAAAATTGTCCCCTTGTTAATTTGACACACAAACATGTTGCTGTTAAACCATGAAGTTTCCTTTCTCGCTTATCCCCAAGATGGCATGCTAATATTAATACCATCATATAAACACGATATAACTTTTTAAGTCCCATGGTCTTTAAATTTTTCAGCACTTGAAAGTTCGGTCTTTTTAAAAATCCAGTGTTTCCTTATAAGAGTTTCACCTTTTAACTGTGGACTCCTATTACGTTCAAACTAAGTTAAATACTTTCTTGTTCCAAGAGGAAAGAACCAGGGTGCAGCCACAATCAAAGAAAAGCAAAACCAAAAGTAAGCAGTGTTGAATGTTCAGTGCTTAGCCTCTGCGCCCCACTCATGGTCTTCTGAGCTCCAACATGCCTGGACAGCTTCCCTTCTCCAGCTCATCTCATAGGCTTAGGCTGGTCCTTGGCAGTCACCCACCCTGCGGTACTGCTGTCTCCAATATTCTGGGGTCTCCATGGCAACTAAAGCTACACCTTCACCAACAGCCTCCCCAGAACTCTCTTCAGGGGCTCCAGCCCTTCTACCCAGTGCCAGGTTAGCTACTCTCCAAGACTTCATCATGCTTCAAACCAGTAACACCTCCAGCTGTCAACCTGAGATGTAGCCTTGGCCCTCTTTGGAGCACAACTTCTGTGTGCCGATCCTGAGAAAATACTCCCAAAAGGCTCACTTCTGTGATCCCAGTCTCTTCTTGATCAGCGCTAATTTCTCTGTTCCCAATAACCAGCATCCACTGTCCCATCAAAACAGAGGTTTCTCTTTAATGGTGCTGGCCTCCTGTTAATCACAGCCGATTCTTCAGTCCCAGCTAACCAGAGCCCCAGATTCTTGATTCAAAGTATCACTCAAACATCCCTTTGAAACATCACAGGCCAGGCCTCTCCATCATCTGCATTCCTTTCAGCATCCCTGTCATCCCAGCTCCTTTAGCATCCCAGTAAAGCTATGAGCACTAAATGGTTTTTCCAGTACAAAGTTTCAAAGTCCTTCTGCAATCCTCATGAAAGCAACATGGATAGGTTGTCACAGCAATAGCCCATGAACCTGTTGTTTTTTTTTCTTTTTTTTAAATTGTCCTACTTAGGTTTCTATTGCTATGATATGACTATATATATGGAATTTATTCAAGTGGCTTATGGGCTGTGGTCCAAGTCATCCAACAATAACTGTCTTTACAGTGTAAAGGCCAAGCATTCTGTAGTTGTTCAGTCACAGAGACTGAAATGTTTCAGCAGTCCCTGTCTCATGCTTGAGTCCCAGGGAAGTCCTAGAGGGCTATTGTTCTTCATTTTACATTGGAATCCCAAAGAAGTAGGTTCTATCACGAACAAAGGAAGGCCTCAGCAACAGGATAGAGGTGCTTGCCGATGGAAGAGGGGGCAAGCAGCAAACAGTGCAAGTTTCCTTTTCCTTGTCCTTTAATGTAGGCTGCCACCAGAAAGTGTGTCCCAGATTTAGGGATATCTTCCCTCCTTAAATGATGTAATCAAGAAAATCCTTCATAGGCATGCTCAGATTACTTGAGTTTTCATTGACTCAAGGTATAGTCTAGTTGACAGCCAAGATTAGCTATCATGATGACCAAAACAAGTTGTGTTTTTTAGAGTTTTTTGTTGTTGTTGTTTTGTTTTGTTTTTTTGTTTTGTTTTTTTTTTGTTTTTTTTTTGTTTGTTTTGTTTTGTTTTTGCTTAGGGTTGTAGTCCATCGTAAAGGGAAGTCAGGTTAGGAGCAAGAAGGCAGGAATGGAAGCAGAGGCCATGGAGGAGTACTGCTTATTGGCTTGCTCTTTATGACTTGCTCAGTCTGCTTTCTTATACACCTCAGGACTGTCTGCAGGAGACGCTGCACCCAGTGAACTGGGCCTTCCCGCACGAATCATTAGTCCCACATTATAAGCAATCTGATGAAAACATTTTCTCAGTTGAGGTTTCCCTTTCCAGATAAGTCTAGCTTGGGTCAAATTGGACAAAAAAAGATGGTTCATTGGTTAACTTAATTTAATGGGATACCCAATAATTATTTTATAAAGAGATAATAAATGTTTTCAAAGAGGGTAAGTAGATTTTAGATTTCAGAGAGCCAACAAGAATGCTATAGGCTAAGGAAGCAAACGCTTCAGTTTTGAACAGCTGGTGTGATATGGTTACTTACCCACCAAGCTAAAAGACTGAAGATCACAGGCAGGGGGATAGAATTTTGTACAATAGATCAAAGTTTTAAAATAGTTTTAAATATTGTCTACTAAAATAAGTATTGCAATTGTTAAGTCATTTAACAGGCATGTCCCCAAGTAGGAATAATTTTTTTTCAAGTAATTCTTCTTACTAGCATTTCTCCTACTATGGAGGCAGTGGCCATCCAGCTAAAGAAGGCTTTGCCCCATTGGTAAACACACAGTCTTAGTATTTTAACATTCATATGAAATCTAATCACTAAATTTCAAATGGTTACTTGATAAAAGCATAAAATAGAATACCCTAGTTCTCTGGGCCTTTTCTTTTTTCATTCTATTCAAGCATCAGTTTTATCTCGAGGTATTTTTAATAACCTTCCTTTATAGCCAAGTTAGTCATACCAGTGTCATCTCTTTTTTTAATTTTTAGGCTTTACAATATTGAAAGTATTTTAATATTTTATTAATTCTTTGAGAATCTCATGTAATATATTTTGATCCTACTCATCCCTGCTTATTTCGCCTAGATCCACCCCCACCTACCTACTCACCCAACTTCATGTCCTCTTTTTTTTTTTTTTAATCCATTGAGTCTAATTTGTGCTACCCAAATACTCTTGGATGTGAGACCATCCCCTGGATCATGGTTGATTTACAGGAGTCCTACCCTTAAGGGAAATGGACTCTCCTTCTCCCAACAGCTACCAATCACCAATAGCTCCTCAGCTAGAGGGAGGGCCTTGTGCCAATCTCTCTCCTCTTGACAAGTGGGGTCCCATAAACCCCCAAACATTATAAACTATTGCCATTATTCTTAGTTACCCTCCAGAACTTGACAGTAAGACCCTACTGTTGACGTCACAGAACACAGGGAAATCAAGCTGACCTGGAAGCTTTATCCCTGGCTAGCTTTCCTGGTGCTGGAAAGTGCTCTGCATGCTGCCAGAGGAGAGCAGCAATCATCCATCTTCCAAGCTGTGAACCCTAGGCGGTAAAATGATGACTGTCCTGGCAGGATTAGTCCACTGGTGCAAATAGTGACGTGAATGTCCTTGGAATAATCAGCCAACCAAAAACAAAGCCATCCTTCACCTTTTTCCTCTACAGAGATAGCAACACTGCTAGGCTCTCCATGTCTTTGGGTGTCATCTAACACCCGCTGATTATTAGGTAAATCCTTTTGGAAAACAGCAACAGATCCCAAACTTTCACCAACCCTTGGCCAAGAATGCCATCAGGTGACATCAAAGGCCTATGACAGAGATTTTCCCACTTTGCTATAACCCACCTATGTGGTATTTCCACCAATGTACTTGAGTATGCCTCAATTTATATAAAAATTTAAAAGAAAACACAGGAAGTTGAAACAACAAAATGTGAACAGTTCTGGAGACATTTTCAACAAATTTACATTATTTGTTTTAAGATTTAAGCCTTAAGCCTTTTTTTTTTTTTTGAGACAGGATTTCTTTGTGTAGCTTGGCTGTCCTGGAACTCACTTTATAGACCAGGATGGCCTCAAACCCAAGAGATCCACCTGCCTCTGCCTCCTGAGTGCTGGGGTTAAAGACATGTGCCATCACTGCCCGGCAAGACTTTAGCCTTCTTATAATAAGCATTTAGAAGTTGTCTCTGCCTAAAGGGCAATGGCTTGTCATTTAGGTCTACATGGCAACCAGAAGGCAGCATTAAAATGAGACGTTGTGTCTCTATCCTTTTTATCACCTTTACTTTTGGGTCAATTTGTTTACCTTTATAGTAAAGGTTTTAATCGTTTAGCCAATGTCTTATTTAAAGTATTTTATATTTTTTATATTTTCTTTCTTTAAACCAGAAGGAACAGTAAGTTATTATTCTAAATAAAATGAAAAAGAAAAATTGTGTTTATGTTGTAAGGAAACATGTTAGGATTATCTGTAAATCTTAAGATGTCATTGTCTACCTTTAAGTAGGTTAATCGGTTCTTTAAATGACAGTTTTGTTTTCTATAGTTTTAGTGTTGTCTCTTACCTAGGCTTGGCTAGAGAAGGACCTGGAAAATGTGTTTTTCAAGTGTTTGTAGCAGTTAAAAATAGTCTTTAAAGTGTTTATATTTATGTGCATACGTATGAATCTTAAAACAAAGCATATACCAAGAATAGCACTTGCTAACTTCTTGAAAGATAAATAAATAGCCACCGATTTTGTTGTTCAGTTTTTCTTGGGAAACAAAATGACCCATAAAACCAATCGCATAAAAATAATTGCCATGAACAGACACAACATAATCAGATACGCTTTTTAGTAGGAACTAGGTAGGAAATTTATATCTCAAAGATATAGAGCTTCACTTAAACACTGAGAAGGGCCCAATGAAGGCAAACAGCAGTGATGTCTATATTAGGTGGATGGGGTAAGGCAGTTAGTGTTCGTCGGAGATGTTCAAACGAGAGGGGATAATTTTGTTTATTGAATTTTTTCCGTCTGACGTTCTCAAGTCAGTGTGTAAGAGAGTTCATTTGGGCAGTGAGCCCGAGCATTGAGAAAGAACTCTGCCTTGTGTCAGAGAGGAAGCCAGAGCAGGGCTGAGACTGAAGGCATGGCTGGGCTGCGAGTAGAGAAAACATCATAGGCCATTAAATGGCCAGAAGTTATGGTCCAGGAGTGGATATAACAGCCCCGGGGGGCGGGGGGGAGGTCAGAAAATCAGGATTTGACTACCAGCTATTAGAGAAGGGAAATTCTGAGGAAATCTTGAGGAAACTGAAAGTCTGGCTTCCTGTAGGTCTCTCAGATCAGAAATTCTGGCCAGGAAAGAAAGCCACAGGCACAGATGTCAACATTTTAGCCACGTGTTCTGTGTCCTTGTACTCTGAAGAAGAGTTGTGCATTCCCCCATGGTAACCCCTATGGTATCTTAGTTTCTTTTCCTATTACTGTGATAAAACAAAACTCTAACTAAAGTAGATGAAGGGGAACATGATTTGCTTCAGTTCAAGTTCAAGGATACAGTACATAACGGCACAAAATCATGCAGAAGGAGCCCGAAGCTACTGGTCACATGACAGTAGGAAATCAGAGAGGGAAGAACGTTTGTGTTCAGCTGGCCTTCTTTATTCTAACCAGGACCCAAGGCCAGGCAATGGCGCTGCTGAAATTTTCATATAGGGTTTCCACCTCAGCTAACCTAACCAGCATAACCTCTCACAGGCAGCCCAAAAGCTAAATAATCCCTCATAAATTGCCTGGAGGAAGTCTCCTAGGTGATCCCAGATCCTGTCGAGCGATAATTAGCATTAACCATCACGTACAGGGATGAGGAAAACAGTCGTGAGGAGTAAAAAGGCCAGGATAAGGCAAATGAAGGGGACACCTTCCCCAACACCCCAAGGAGAGGGGTCATTGTTGGCTGGTAAAAGGAGAACGGAGGGGGTGTCCCTACCCCATCAGCGTCTTCCCTGAAGACATCCTCAAAACTGTCTCTAACAAGCTGAAGGAGTGGTGGACCTTGCACTTGGGCACACCAAGTGAGAGATGAAAAGGAGCTTCCCATCTGAAACAGTGAAGTCTTTTCTCTCCCACCAACAGAGTCAAAGTCCTCCTAAAATTCCCCTTTTAACTCACAATGTTCCTGAAAGAGGATCACCAGAAGCTAGGAGGTTCATTGAGGTCTGGTAGTATTCAACGTATGGAAAAAGAGTAGCGAGGGGAGATTAGAAAGGGGGAGTCCCACGAGATTCCTAGAAAGAAGCAACAGCTCCTCCCCCTTCCAGGCTATAGCAGACCGTCCTTTTCCTTACTGCCTTAGTGATCCACCAAAGAATAGCTTTAGTTAGGGTCCATCAGCTGCAAGTGTGCAATAAGGCCTTCCACAAGGAGACAAAAGGATTGATGCTGGCCTTCCGGAGTCACCTACCCTGTAGGCCTTTGGATATCCCTGAAGACTAGACCCAGCCAGAGATCTTCAGTTGCCGGTGGATTCAGCCAATTACTACAGGCTCCAGAGTGAAAGGGGAACAAGGAAATAAAAGAAGGGTCTCCTGTTTAGGCCACCACAGTGTTAGGTAGAAATCACGGTCAAGATTAGAGTGCCAAGATTTCCATCAAGACAGAAAAACACAAATTTTATTTATTCTTTATAGATAGAGAAAGGCCAGAACACTAAGGAAGGTGTTGTCCCTCTTGACCAGGGACTAGGATTTATGTGGGTAGTTAGTAACTGGTTCCTAGAAGTCATCTACGGGGCAGTTACAGGACTGGCTCTAGAGTAATTACAAGACTTACTCTACATGAGGGGAATTGGATTGATTCAAAAGTAGGGTGAAGGCAAGGGAGAAGACATTTTTGAATTAGCATTGTTTGGTATTTTCACCACTCAGACAGGAGTTTGGAAGGGCTTATATCCCTGTCATTTCCCAGAGTCCAAGGAGCCCTTCGCATTCTGAGTTCCATCATCATGACTCTGGGTGGAAAGGTTGCCTGGACGCTTTCTCCCACTCAGTGGAGCATAGGATCTGTCTGTGCTGCTTAGGCTGAAACCTTATCCCATTCCCATTCTTCTTCCCATTGCAGCACGTGGTCCAGTGTGTGTTTGTGGCCATCCGGACCATTGGGAACATTGTAATTGTCACCACTCTGCTGCAGTTCATGTTTGCCTGCATTGGGGTCCAGCTCTTCAAGGTAAAGTCCCGCCTCCTTCCCCTCTCATCAGCATTCCAGGGAAGGGAGCCAAAGATGCAAGAGGGGACAGCAGTCTAGGTCAGGTGTACAGAACAGTATGACCTGAAACTACAACCTGTCAGACCTGAGGCACCGTGACCTCTCCCCACAACCTACTTGAGCTTTTTAGACCTAGAGAGTAGAGGGAAACCTGCCCTGCCTCTCCCAGCTAAAGGCCCCTGTGTTCTCTGTTATGCCAGCCCTCCCCTACACCACCCAGCCAGAGGCCTGGCTGGTCTCTTCTTTTCTGCTTCCATCTCTTTAGGTCTGCTAGTCTCTCACCTGAAGCACTCTCTCTGTCCCTCACCCTCCACTATATAAATTTCCACTGACTTCCTCCCATGAACTCCCTCCAATCCCAGATCCCCTTATTTCTTCCTCTCAAGACCTTCCCAGAGAGCAGTCTTCAAAGGTTGGCTCCCTGCTTTTGAATCTAAGTGCACTCTGGGCTGCGAATGTGAACCACGTCCTCCACATCTGAGCTCTGTTCATCTTTCACCCGTTATCCCTGAAGCTTATTGATGGTTTTCTGGCGGACCCACCCCTTGCAGAACCTGTCTTATCACTTTGTTCTTCTCTCCTAGGGGAAGCTCTATACCTGCTCGGATAGCTCCAAACAGACGGAGGCAGAATGCAAGTGAGTTTAAGCTAAGAGGCTGCAGAGCCAGGGCTGGTTAACTCAGGGGAGGCTGGTGGCTTGGTTAGAGAGGAGTGAAGACTGTCCTCCTACCATTTCATTATCTGACCTCACTTTTGTGACATGTGACTTTATTCCTCAAAGTTCAAGCCACTGAGGCTTCTGATAGCTGGGATAATGTGTTTGCATCCTACCCAGCATGCCAGGAATCATTGATGGTAGAGATATGGGACATTCTGTGATTACCTTTCTCTCCCTTTCTCAGGGGTAACTACATCACATACAAAGATGGAGAAGTTGACCACCCGATTATCCAGCCTCGAAGCTGGGAGAACAGCAAGTTTGACTTTGACAATGTTCTGGCAGCCATGATGGCCCTCTTCACTGTCTCCACCTTTGAGGGGTGGCCAGAGTGAGTATGGATACCAAGGCTCACAGCCCTAACACTAGAGTCTAGACACTGACTGTCTATGTATTATCCAAAGTCTTCTACTTTCTCTGAATTCTCCCCAGAGGTCATACTGGTGTTGTCCCCAGGCAGTGAGAGTGCTTCGAGAATTCTCACAGAACATGATCACCACAGAAGCATAGACTTTTAGCTGAACATAGGGGTGCACACCTTTAATCCCAGCACTGGGGAGCCAGAGGCAGATAGAACTCTGAGACAGAATCTCTGAGTTTGAGGCTAGCCTAGACTATGTAGTGAGTTCCAAGCCAGCCAAAACTACATAGTGAGACTCTGTCTCAAAAACAGAAACTATCTCTTATAAAAGGGATTATAGGGGATGGGGATGCAGAGGATTTCCCTGAGGACCTTGTGCATGTCATGCAAGTGCTGTACCACTCAATGCATCTGCAGCATCTTAGAAATCCCAACCAGAAATGGATACCTTTAACTCTTTTCCCCAAGCTCAGTATGAGTCACAGGATTAGAAGTCCCTGCCATTATCTTTATGGCATTTCTGAGTCAAATACAGAATTTCTCTGTGTAAACCTTTGATCACCAGAGTTCTAGTTTACCAGTGTAGCTGGCATGGGTAAAGGTAACCAGGAGGTCTCTGTCCCATTAGACTGTGTACTAGTCTCCTTGGGGAAAGCCTTGTCTACACTGACGCTGTCGAGTAAGAAAGAGACAAAAGCCAGGGGCCCAGTCCCTCTGCAGATGTAATAGTTTCCCTACATGACCAGCTCATTGGTTCTCACACGGCATGGCTGGTAGCAGGCTGGCCCATCTAGTGCCCTTTGTGTCTTGGTTTAAACAACCATGTCCCCACCCAACAGTGCATGGATGGGATTTGCCATTGTTATATGGCAATATATAAGAGAATAGCCATATGCCAGGGAAATTACAATAGAAGAGAAAGAAATAATTCTGACCCCACAGCCCAGACTGCAATGTATGGCAGACTTGTGTGCATGTGCGTGTGTGTGTGTGTGTGTGTAATCTGAACTACTGTAGATGATGTAAATAATCTAAGGTCATGCTAGTTTTATTTTATCTAAATGAATATTTTTTCCTCAGGTTTACTTTTTGTTTGGCCTCACCTCCTTTAGCCCATGCCAGTTTGCAAAGCTGTTTCAATATTTACCAATACTTCTGTATTTGAAATTGGTGTCAGTGATGGATGTTACAGTTCAACAGCTCTTGACAATTTCAAAACACTGTGTATATATTATATCAGCTGCTCTGTCAGATAGGAAAGTAGAGAATTATCATTTCCACTTGACAGTTGTGGACTCAGTGCCAAAGAGATTCATTGCTTTGCCTAGATGGGACTTGAGCCCCAGACCCTCTGGCCCCAGCCTGGAGCTGTTTCCTTTGATTGCAGGGATCCCTGGGAGCAGTGGTGCCATCATCTCATGGAGGTGACACTGCTTCTCCAGTTCACTCTGTGAGCCTGTCTCCTCCTGCAGGCTGCTGTACCGTTCCATCGACTCCCACACAGAAGACAAGGGTCCCATCTACAACTACCGTGTGGAGATCTCCATCTTCTTCATCATCTACATCATCATCATTGCCTTCTTCATGATGAACATCTTCGTGGGTTTCGTCATTGTCACCTTCCAGGAGCAGGGGGAGCAAGAGTACAAGAACTGTGAGCTGGACAAGAACCAGGTAGCTTTCTGGGAAAGAAAGGAGGAAAGCCGGGACCCCAGAAGGAAGGGCAGAAGTTGGCTGCCCAAGAGCCATCAGAAGAGAGCCTAGGGGACTTAGAGAGATGTGTGTGGATGCTAATGTTCCCTGTCCTGTCATGCACTAGAACAGGGTTTTTGTTCCAAATCCCTGTGGCAGAAATGTGGATCCAGTCTTTCTCAGACCTGACAGACATGACATCCTCCCAAGATCTGGAAAATACGATCAATCAGCGAATATTTGTTAAACTTCCCCTTAGCGACACTTTGTTTCAGACAACATGGAAAAAAAGAAATTTATGTCATATCCAAAAATTAAGAAGTTACTTTATGCCCAGGTATGTTAGCATCATTGTCTGTAGTATGAGGCCACTTGTTAGTTCCTGGCTGCTCAGCCCCAAAATAACCACCAGAAACTGTATTAATTAAATCACTGTTCGCCCATTAGCTCTAACTTCTTATTGGCTAACTCTTACATCTTAATTTAACCCATTTCTATTAATTTGTGTATTGCCACGAGGCTGTGGCTTACTGGCAAGATTCTGACTGGAATCTGTCTCTGACAGGGCTACATGGCTTCTCTTCACTCCGCCTTCCTTCTCCCAGCATTGAGTTTAGTTTTCCCTGCCTAGCTCTGTTCTACCCTACCAGGCCAAGCTAGTTTCTTTATTCATTAACCAGTAAAAGCAACACATTGACAGAAGGACCTCCTACACTAATTGTCAAAGGAGAGACTAGAACATTGTTGTAAAGAGAGAGCTTGGGATGGCCAAGAGAGAAGTTTTAGGAAACCACTTAGATGGCTTTTCAAGCAAAACAAAGGTCTGAGCAGGGGTCGAGAGAAGAGTCTTAAGGGGGTGTGGCATGGTGACACTAAGGTCTAGAATGTGCTCTCTCAACTCCCCTGGGTGAGTAAGGTGCTGTTAGGATTGGACATTGGTGTGAAACCTCAGCTCCCTTTGCTCTCCCAGTAAAAATATGTTCTGAATAAAGCCAGCTCGTGAGGATACAACCCAGTGTGCCCAGCTCTGTGCTTGACAGGAAAGCTGGACCCTTTGTGGACTTTGATATCTGCTATTCAGCTTTAGATTCAACATTTGGGCTACTGTGTAGCATTGAAAGAAAGAGAAGGAGGGAAGCACAGATGAAGTGTGTAGAGAACCTGACCTAACAGATATAAAAACAGGAGGTCAGATCAGCAAGACTTGGGGATTAAGCATGGAGATCTAGGGTCAAGCAGGCTACAGTGTCTGGTTTTCTGCTTCCTGATTTAGAGATTTGGGTGCTGTGCATAGAGATTGCCTGACATTTTCTGTATTCCCAAGACTCTAGTTAGAACAAGAGTTTCTCTCTTGACAGTTCTGTGTCTTCTGATCGTGTAGATGCTCAACAATAAGGAAGAAGGATTTAGGATAAAAAAAAATTAGGCAAGAAATACCCCATGGAGAATTTGTGGTGTGGGACAAAGCCAATGAGAGCTATGAGCCAATCGGTATTTATGAGGCGCCAAGCGCTTGCTGAGCAATGCACCAGTTATTACCGGCTGGAGAAAAGGAGCTGAGCTCATTGCTTGCAATCTGGAGAAGAGTTGCTGGAAGGGGCTTCTGTCCTTGACAAGGGATGCCAGAAAAATCAAAAGCCATTACATGCCACACGTGTGAGCAGAGCCCGAGAATACCTTCCCGGGTTGTGGTTTCACAAGCATCCTGCCTTTTATTGTCCCACGTCCTCTGTCACCCCCACTCTCCTTCCACATGCCTTCACTTATCCTCCTTCCCTTCCAGAGACAATGTGTGGAATATGCCCTCAAGGCCCGACCCTTGCGAAGGTACATCCCCAAGAACCAGCACCAGTATAAAGTGTGGTACGTGGTCAACTCTACCTACTTCGAGTATCTGATGTTCGTCCTTATCCTGCTCAACACCATCTGCCTGGCCATGCAGGTCAGTCTGCGGGTGGGGGCTAGCCTAGGGAACGTGCTGGGGAAGGATGTAGTAGAAGGAGCCTCAAGGCCAGGCCAAGTGGTCACTGCCTACAGCTGGGACAGTAATGGAGTCAGAAGAGTGAGGAGAAAGACAAGTAGCCCTTCTCAGGGATGGGGTTCCTCTGAGAGCTTATGGAAGAATCCCCGGGGCCCTAGATTGATAACAGGGAATAGAGGAGGTAAAGAACCATGGGAGTAAGCTGGGAGTCATCATCATAAGGCATGGGTGTGGAGGTGGATTCACATGCCACCTACAAGGAAGTCAGTTTGTGCCAGGGCTCTCAAGTGCCAGAAACATCCAGAAGTCATCATGCCCAATCATCAGGAACTCAGATCTCTGCTACCCAGCTGTCACACAGTAGGAAAGGCAAGAGCTTGCAGTGTCTCCAGGCACCTGCCTGCCCAAGGCATGGTGGGTAGCCTTCTGAGGATGGCTCAAGGAAGATCTCTGCAGACATGGAGGCATCTGAGAAAGCGGGACAAAGGTGATAAAAAAGTCGGAGGACTTCAGTCTCATGTTCGTGGTCTTCCCCTTCCTTCCTCTTAGCATTATGGCCAGAGCTGCCTCTTCAAAATCGCCATGAATATCCTCAACATGCTGTTCACTGGCCTCTTCACAGTGGAGATGATCCTGAAGCTCATTGCCTTCAAACCCAAGGTAGGCCTCTGAGAAAGAGCTGTTGACGGGACAGGGTGGGCATGCATCCACAGAACAGCCCAGTGAAGGGCCATGCCTTCCCTGAGGAGTGGTCTAAAAGCTATGCTGGCCAAGAGGTGAACCAGGCCAACTCCTTGAAATACAACCTTACTTTGTAGTTTTCTCTATGACTGGGAAATAGATTTCTCCGTGAGCAGAGCTGTGGTCTTTCCATGAGCTCAGCCACGCCCCTTCCCCTCCCATTTCCCACAACCTGGCAAACCAAACTTCTCCTGGCCCAGCGCCCCAGATCTGGGAAGGTCCCTGATAGACCCCTCTCCCATTCCATGTGTCGTGCAGAGCAGGTGACTGTGAGAAGTGCAGGCTGGGCCTGTGTTTGCTCAGGGCCCAGTCCTCCACGCCATCGACCGTGGTCAGAGACACTGCCGTTGCTCCCTTTGTCCTCAGCACAGGGCGAGCAGTTGCCTGCAGATTTTCTTATGTCACTTCTCGCAAACAGCACCTCATAGAAGAGGGCGGCTAGCACTGTCTGAGTGAGGTGGAACTGACCAAACTGACCACCTGTCACTCTTCCTCACCAGCCCTGCCCACCACCCCAGGTGACAGCAGAGTAGACGAGAGGAAGTAGTGCCCACAGCCCGTGACCTGCATAGAAGGCCAGAATCTCCGCTAGGCACTGGCCTGTGACTGACAGCCTCTTCAGAGGGCAGATGTAGCCACAGCTCAGTAGCTCCTGCCGCCGCCCTAACACGGCCTGGAGAGTGGCGAGAAGGACGTGCCTGGAGACGCACACTTAGAGATTTGAAACATTAACCAATTTCCCCGAGCTTCCTCTCCCCCTCCTTCACCAGCTTTACCAGATGCAACACAGAGCAGCAGGGGGGGGCAAAAAGACCAATCTCCGGCTAGATCGTGTTATAGTGCATGTTTGGACAACATACCTAGAATCAGCTACATAATTATTAAGGAAAGAGCTGGCGGAGTGTCACAAGGGTCCATCCTTGGCAAGAGCTCTGCTGAATACTTTTCAGAAGAGCAGAGGCATTTGGGTCACGTAAACATAGTCCGTGCAAGGTTCAGAAACACTGGTCCTTCCTTTCGGCCACAGAACACGGAGGGATCTGGAATACTTTCCAGAGACTCTTAGTGAGCCTCATCTGGAACAACCGTAACAACGGTGTTTCCCTACCTCCAAGAAGGAAATACATTCTTTGTCATAGTTCTCTCTAAGTTCAGATCCATTAAGGGATGTGTTCTGCCCTGGAAAAGACCACCACGTTGTTGTGGCCACCTTCCCTGGGACCCGCAAGCATTGCTGCCCACAGGTCGCCCTGTTCCAGGTTCCGTGCCTGAGAATACAGAAGCATCACCCATGCATCCTGAGCCAGGCAAGGAGTGCAGGGTTACTGGGCTTCACTCCCAGTTTTCGACCTCTCAGGAAGCTGCCATCACTTTCACTTTGGGCATGAAACATATGTCTTATTTAGTCTTTGATCATCCCACAGTGGACTCAGATATGGTCCTGGTGTTTGAGGGATCTCCAGAGCCCACTGTGGACAGACTTTCTGTATCATGTCTCCAGCACCAAGCCACCTGCCCTGCAAAGCCCATGAGATTGATATCTTCAGGGACGTTGGCTTGAAACACACATTTGGTATATCCTACTAATGAGAAACAAACCAGTTCATAAGACATAACCAATTGGAATGGCCTAAGCCATAAAGCATTTCCTATTTTCTTCAATGCCTAGTTTTCTATAATGAGAAGACAGGGTAAAATATGACAAATTTTTCCTGGGTACAAAAGAGAGGCATCTCACATAGCAAGAGTCAGTCTTTGGCTTCAGAGGATGGCAAGGGGGTCTCTTCTATTAATTCCTCAAAAGGGACCCCGGACAATAGAGAAGAAGACTGTTAGTGAATGTGACCAAGGGCAGCTGACTAGTTAATTGAGAAGAAGATGAAGGAGAGCCCGGTCCCTGTGCACCCTCATTAACTGTATTCTTCACTGACAGACAGACTAGGAAATGGACCCTTGAGCTTTCAGGCAGAATACCAAGCAGAAACCCTTGTAACTCTGGTAGAAACATCTGCCTGGAGTTTGCCCAAGAACAATGGAGTCGCTTCTACCAGACCTGGACTACTTCTGGACTTCCATTTTCTCCAGTTGCTCATGGATGAAGTGAATTCCCTGGGAAAGGACGGTTAGCAAGAATGAAGAAGGTGGATCTGTTAGTCATCCTGGCACATTTATTATAATTTTTATAATTATAAAATACCTGCAGCGACTAACATAGTTTTGAAGGTTTGAGTGCCATATGCTTCCATCAACACATTCCAGGGAGGCTGGCACATCATAGCAGGTGTGTAGAGGAGCAATTCAGTCATGTGTAACCAGGAATCAGGGCAAGAGTTCAGGCTAGAATCTCACAGTCCTCAAAGAGCAGGCTGTGAGTTACTTCCTCCAATCCCCGCTTGCTTGCTTGCTTGCTTGCTTGCTTCCTTCCTTCCTTCCTTCCTTCCTTCCTTCCTGCCTTCCACTAGGCTCCATTGTCTGAAAGTTTCCCCTTCCCTAGAATCACTCTTGAGGACCAAGCTTTTAACTCATAGTCCTTTGATGGCCACTTAACATCCAAACCACAGCAATAGCCATTACCCGTTATCATGGCTACATCATCTGGAGGGGTCCCTGATTCAGTTTTCCTTGTCATATCCTCTTCATATCTGATTGGCTGATGGGTTAATCCATCGGTCTGGTTCTGTTTCTTTCTTCCGTTGTGTCTACTGTAATTGATGCTTGTGATCTTTTCATCCACATCTGTTTTCCTCACTTCCCAATGTAAAATAAGTTTACTCAAGAAAATCTATGCCCTGAATCCAACTCCCCAACTCCCTAAGTCCATACTTTGTTCATCCAAAACCTTTGCAGAAATATGAGATGTTAATATAAGCAAGTTTAAAGACCTCTGTCTCAAACAACCTGGAGAAAGCAAAGGTGACCCACAGAAGAGGATTGGTGAATGCCAATGGAGTTCTGTCCTTGGCTGTAGGGAAAACAGGCTAAAGAAACAGGGATGATACTTGATGTAGATGCAAGCTGGTGGAAAGGTTTGGTTGGATGTTCAAAGGGTAACTAAATGGTTGTTTAATTACAAGAGAGATTATATTTCTACCATGACCTGAAATGTGTCAATAATTACAGAAAAAAATTAAGAAAACTTTAATGATAGATGCTAAAAAAATGTTCAGTCTCTAAAAATAAATAAAACAAAAAGAAAACTAAAATTTTATACCAAGGAATAAAAAAAAGCTAATAACTGAAGAGATGAACTCCCGGGCTGGGAAACACTCCATTGCTAAAACTTTATTTCCTCTCAACTTGATCTATAGATTCAGCACAATCCCAAATAAAATTCGTAAGGAACCCTACCCCAGCCAGAAAAGCAGAAGGGAGGGAGCCACACAGCAGACCCAGGGAGTTGTTAGGATAAGCCTTGGAGCTCAAGGTTTGAGCTCATGTTGGCAGCTCTGCCCCAACTGTGGAGGGCAGCACAGGGCCCGGTGAAGGGTGGTGTCGCCACGACATTCCACTCTTAGCAAGAGGGCTGAGTGCCGGGGATAATGTCATCACCTAAATCCCCAGGCTTTTCTGGTGACAAAGGTTCATCAAGAATAACAAAATGAAGACTTGATGAGCCCTGGGTTGCACACTCCTCCCAGCGCAGTAGTTCTAGGGCATCAGGGGTCACCCTAATGAAAGGCTTTTGACCTCTCTGCTTCAGAAGGTCCTCAGTAAGACTGAAACTCACCTCGAGGTAGGCCTGTGGGGGCTGTTGTCTTCTGGAGAGCCCCTGGGCACCGAGGATGGGGCTTTGGGACTAGTGTGTTGGTTACTTAGTAAGGAATCGCCTGACGTGGGCTCAGAGGATGCCTTGTCTGCCAGAGCCCGCTGGACCAGCAGTACAGCGTGGTGTCAGCATCATGCTGATATCATCTGATGCTGAATCAGCTGTGAGGGTGCAGACAAGGAATGAAAGATGGCTCAAAGTTTCCTGGCCTGTCCCCCGGGGAACGTTCTGGTGCAACAATTCATTGAAATTGAGGAGAGCAGGGTGAAGCTAGCCTGAAGGGGATCCGCAGATGTATTGGGTTTTAAAAGCTTTTGAAATCTGGAACAGGCAGTCTGGGCAAGAGATCTATCTTAGGAATCAGTACTACATATGGCTCTCCCAAGTAGAAGTTCCAAGAGAGCTGTCCTGGAGCCTCCTCATCCCAGAAAGTGGCTACTGAGCTAACAGGTGGGGCACTGGGGAGGAGGGAGAGGTGGAGGGGGTCTGGAGGCTAAGAGCTGCCATGGCCAAAACAGGAGATCGGGAAAAACCACTGTTTCTCAGGCTAAAGGGCTGTGTGAGCAAAACCAGACACAGAGAAGGAAGGGAGGGTGAACAAGAGCCTGGAGGCTGCCCTGCTTCTCCAGGGGAGCAGGAGGGGACCCTAAATGTACTAGTCCCCCCTCTGTGAGTGGTGCAGAGGACTGTATTTCTTGAAACTCACATTGATCTAGAAAATTCAATTTAAACAACTTCAGGAGTAAGTAAAAATATTTTCTCTTAGCTTGTATGGAAAGTTAGTCATCATTTTTAGGCTAATGGTCTTGAATCCTTTCTAGACCTACAAGCCCCTATTTCATGGTAAATATTCTGTAATGTATTTTTAGTTCCCAGACATTCACACATATACATAAAATGTCTAAAATACAGAACCTCTTAGCCATAATTTAAGTGGAAAGGGTTATATATGATAAAAAAAAATCATTTCCCACAAAAGTTGAAGACAACAGAAGAAGGTGCGGGACCTTAGAATAAAAACTGAAGTTGCCACAGGCCAGTTTGATTTGTGCACAGTACCTACACACATGTCTCTCAGAAGTCCTATGGGTACATCACTCTTAAGTCTCAGCTCTCCCATACAGCAGGCTAGTTGGTGTCCCTGTTCCCATCC